CTTTGGGCAGGGGGGCCACTTAACACAATCACATCATCTTCACGACTACTGACCCAGTTTAGGATGGTCAACCTTCTAAGTAGCTCAACAGGGAGAAAGGTTGGTGGGCCACATAGGCCAGGGAAAGGCAGATGGGAAATCTGCAGAGGGCTGGATTAGCACATTTTGCAAGGAAGAGTTGCATATTTCTCCAGCAACAGAGCAGGGGAAATGTCATGGGGTGAAGGGCCAGGGGGACTAGGATATAGACTTAAGGGAAGGGAGCGAGAGCTGGGGAAAGGAGCGACTGCAAGGATTGAGGGCCCCAGGGTGAAGCGCATGGGTGAGCTCAGGTCAAGCTGTTCACCCTAATGTGCCTCAGTTCTCTCCCAGCTGTTAAACAGGGCTCTGGGCTCTTCCCAGGCAGAGTTAATGAGTGTTTACAAAAGGGCTTGGAGATCCTCAGATCTCAGCTGGGCCACCACTACTGTTATAAAGCTCAATAAGGGTTGAGTGTTACTTGGGGAGGGGAGGGATAGGCGAGGGAAAGACTCAGAAACTAAGAATAAAACCAAGCTCCAGAGAAGCACAAGCCTTAGCTGCCACAGGATATCCTTGTGCCCAGGGATGGAGGTCACATACCCCCGTACCTCTAACCGCCACTGGAGGCAGAGCCCAGACTAGCAGCTGGTCTTCATTAACTTCAGCTTTTTCACCCCCCACTGTGAACCCACAGCTTCTACAGGCCTAGGATAGAGGGGGGTGCCCTAGCCTGACCTTGCAGCTGACTCTGGGGTGGGGGGCACCTCACGAAAGACCAAGTTACCAGCTGAAAAGAAAGTTGGAGTGAGAGTCCCTTTTCCCATTGGGAACAAGAGAGGAAAGAAAGGAGTGTGGGGGTGAGAGGGTGGAGGTGGGGAAATTTAGGGCAAACAGCAGGCAGTGAAGTCAGCTGGATCAAGGCCCAGAAACCCCCACACCCTGGGGCCAAGTCTTACTCGAGCTTTGCTTTCTGCTTGAGTCTTGGCTGGGCCCCAAACTGGAGAAGGCCCTGGCTGCCCCTTTCCGCCTCCCTACCCCCACCCTTATTAAATACACATTTTATCTCTCAGCATCTTCATTATCTTAACTGAAGGAGACAAGCAAAGGATGGCAGCAGGAGAGAGCGTCAGGAGAGGGAGGGCGGGAGCGGGCGCACCCTTGTTATAAAGTGCTGATCTAGCTCTTTCAGGCAGTGTGGGAAACAGTGGAGACATCAAAGGGAGTAAGGCTGATTCAGAACTCAATTAGAGCTTTTTTAAAAGGGAGCTTGCTCCCTCTCTTTGCCAGGCTTCAGACAGCCTTTACCCAGGCCCCTTGCACCCAATTAGCTTCTATGGCCAGTGCCTTGGGGCTGGGGTTGAAAATCAAGGGGAGGCCAGAGGGCATGCCTTCTCCCCCTGCAGAATGCACCTCTTCTGAGGAAGACCTTAAAAAAGAATGTGTTCAAGGGGACACCTTATCTTCTCAGGAAGAGCTTGAGACCACACTTGCCCCAAAAGTTAAAAAGTGGGGCAGCAAAGGTGGGTTTCCCCTAACCCCTTACCAACTAAAAGCACAGCTTCAGACCAATGTCTAGGGGACACTAGGTAACACCCAGTCAGGCAACTCTCTTCCCTGTCTGTTGGGAAGACTCCCACAGCAAAGACTTCCCTAGCGCAACATGGAAGTGGCTGCAAGCAAAATACCACTCCATCAGAGGGAGCCTTCGGAACGCATCTGAGGCCAATAAACGCTTCACAACTGTGCTAAGACACATTTTGTAAGAGGGGAGAGACCTGCACAACACTTCAGTGCAAAAGCTCCAGCAATGTTTACCTGCAGATTAGAACTGTCCTCAAAACAGAGGACAGGCAGCATCGCAGCTGGTTCATTTATCCGCTCATTCAACAATTACTTTTTGCATACCCACCAGGTACGGAGACAATGAAGTCCCCTGGGTGGCACAGTCTGAACCCACCTAGCAGTGCTGCTGCAGAAGAAGGCCTGGCAATGCTTCCATAAAGATTACTGCCAAGAAAACATTTTGGTTCTACTATGGAACACATAGACAGGTTCAACTTGAGTGGGAATTGACTCCACAGCAATTTTTCTTTTTTTCTTGGCACTTGACTGCTAACCAGAAGGCTGGCGGTTCAAACCCACCAGCCACTCCTCGGAAGGAAGGTTGGGCATTCCTACTTCCGTAGTGATACTGCCTCGGAAACCCAAGGAGGGGTCGCTATGAGTCAGGGCCGACTCCATGGCAAATAACAACAACAACAACAAATGGATCATAACGGTCTAACCCACAACTGATTGAGGCTGGAGCAAAACCAGGCAGCACTTGCACATGGGGGTGTGGGGCTGACTCAACGGGCAATAACGCCAACCACGTACCAAGTACTGCAGACAGACACAAATAGGAATAAAACCTCAAACTCGGTGCTCGTTTGGTTTCCCTGTTACAGTATTAATACCTCTCAATATTCTTAAAACCCCCTATATCCTCTCATTCCCACTTCCCAGTTCTTACTGTTGTATCTTAAAAGGGCACTTAATAAAGGTAGGGAGCAGAGGCAGGATGGGATAATTGGGCTCTGCCAACTTTTTGATCTCTGGGGAGCTTGGACCTCACACACTCTTGCCAGTTATGTAGCCACAGGCAAGTCTTCATTGAGCCAATTTCAGAGCTGAAACCCACACTGGCTTTCTCGTGTCTATGCTTTCCATGGCAATACCCACCAACTTTCCAAGGAAGCTTAATTTGCTACTTTGGGGGAGGGAGGGAGGGAGAAACCAGAAGATAGACACACAGCCCACCACCTTCAAGAGGGAGAATGTAGGTCAGCAGCGTTGCCACTACTCCCTGTGAAGTAGCCTATGATGGTGGCAAAAACTAGAAACCACAAGCCCAGCCCATCCCACTAGAAATCCCACCACCTTCCTGTAGCTCCCAGCTTCAATGAGAAAAGCCAGCAAGGGAAGGACTTCCTTCCTCCTTGCAAGCTGCTCCCCGGCTATCTGAACTACACTTAAGACTTCACTGACATCCATCAGTTTCTGCTCCCACAAGGGCAGCGGAAGCCAAGCAGGGACTCTAAGTCTACTTCACGCATCATTGACAGAACCAACCCTGTTCCAATTGCTTAAGTCTTAAGAGCAGCAATGACCTAGAAATTGACAGTGGGGGGAGAACCAAAGGAAAGGAAACTAACAAACCAATACACAGAAAACCCTATTTCCAAATACCAAAGAAGGAGAGAGGAGGTAGAGGGGAAAGAAACTTGGCCCCATTGAATCTGCAAATGTGATCCTGGCTGACAGCCATGGAGGATACGTAGCAGCCCCACAGCGAGTCAAGCCGTGATCCTGACTCGAGTCCCACAGTGAAGAGGAAGGCGCCAAGCCTCAAACACAACGAGGTGGGGAGGCTGCTCCTTTTTGGGCAGGATCCTACTGTGGACACAGAACAGGCAGCAGCTGCCCACAGTGTGGAAACAAACAGTAAAGCAGTCACGTCTCTTAAGGCTGCAGCATCCAATAAAATGTAATTTAAATCAAGCCTCGCATCTGTTCCCAATCCCGTTCAGTCTCTGCTTTCCGTCAGCCTTCGGACAATCTTTCCAATTATGTTTTTTAACCCTTCTAGCCCCAGACACTTTCCAACCTTCTAGGTATGGAACTGTGCTCTTTACTTGCAAATGACCCTCAGAGGGGACGAATGTTCTCATAAAGGGACGTGAGTGGGAATGGCATGTAGACTCAGGTAGTGTTTATTTCAGGGGGCCCACTCTTCTATCCCACACCTGCTGTAACCCAGATCACATTGCAGGGATACAGCGGACAGGATGAACCAAACAGCAGCCAACTGACCATTTGCACACATATCAAGTTCCCAAACTCCAGTCGATGTCACAAAGGCAGCAGGCAGGCAGCAGAGGCACTCAGGGAGCAGCGGAGACTTGGTCACTGGCTCTCAGACCTTCCAGGTCACAATGGTTGGTAGTCTAAACTTTTGCTTGAGTTATAAAAGTACAGCAACTTTCCACGGAATCAAACTTCAGTACTTTTTCCCCCTTCAAGGAAAAGTACCCCCACCCCAAGGCTGCACTTTTAAGGCAGTCAGTGTTATGATGGCGCCCTCTGGTGTCTCCAGGACAAACTGCCATTTAATGTCACTGGAAACCAAACCCAGAAAATAAAAAGGAATCCTGAGTAACCATATGGATTAATTTATCTGAGAAGACTGGAAAAATATGTGGTTTAGATGAAACTCCAACCCCAAACTAAGACATCTTGAAACAAGTGGCTTCATTTGGGGATCAGACGTGGGACAGTTTGGGCATTTTCACATTGCCTCCTGGAAGTTTGAGCTCTCTTAAAATGTGATTGCTTAGAAAGACAAAGAATGCAACTTGAAAATAAATATATTCACAATCTGTAATGTTACGTTCCCTTTAGCCACCCCACAACCTTGGGAGTGCCCAAGAAACTCAATGAGTCTTTAAAATGTTACAATGTGGTAGTATCTGCAATGTGAGCACAATATACTCCAAAAAGAAATAAATTCTTTGACCAAAGTGTCCTCCAAATCTCCATGTGGACTTGCTTATTTTCCTGGGTCATCCTTTTTCATTCTTCTTACTTTAACCTCAAAGTTCTTAACAAAATGCACTGCTGTTTGAGCAAACTAGGAGGTATATGTGTGTAAATCCCACAACATAAATCCGTACACACTTGCAAGCATACTGGTAGGGGACACAGAAGTAGCAGAGGTAGTCAAAGAAATTTAAAAGGGTCTACTTGGTAATTTTTATCGGTAAAAGTAAAAAGATCCAAAGACCTTACTCTGTGTTAATATCCACCTATCTGTAGATTAAAATTCATTGGTTTGAAGTAAAAAGGTTATACTTGTTTAAACTTGGGCATAAAGTTCTAAAACGAAGACTCCACATCTCTCTAAATGCTAGCTGGGCCCTTTTGGATTAGAGGAGAAGAATTTAGGCCAATCCAGTGGTTAAAATATTTCCAATTAAAGCTTTGTCTTTCAGAGCATGCTCTATTTCTTTCTCTTCAATCTTCAAAAACATCTGGAAAGAAAGAAAAAGGATTTCTCACCACACAGAACTCACAAAAGCAAAGCTGTCATACACAAACTTCTACCACGTGAAACTTTTCTTTCAAGAAGCCAATAAGCTAAACATTGCTTTTTCTGGTCAGAACAGTACGCTACTTCGAACTGTAGAATGGAAGCTAATGTCAGAGAGAGAAAAATCATTTTGAAAAAAACCTAACTCACCCCATACTCCCATCACAGACCTTAAGCCCCACCTAAGAAAAACAAAGCTATTTATCTAATTGGGGTCATTTTTTGATCTTTAGCAAAGAATAAGTTCTTTGGAAGAGGACAATTAGCAGCATGTCATAAAGAAGGAGCTCTGGTGGCATAAGGCCTAAGGCATTTGACAGCTAACTAGAAGGTTGGTGGTTCAAACCCACCAGCTGCTCTGTGGAAGGAAGACAGGGCAATCTACTTCCATAAAGATTTACTGCCTCAGAAACCCAATGAGGGTTGTTGCTATGAGTCAGATCCACTTGATGGCAATGGGTGGTCTAGGTCATAAAAAAGCAGTTAGTTTTACCTTTGTGAAGCGAGTGTCCTTGTTTTTCTTTAATCCTAAAATGCCCCTGGCCTCCAAGAGCCCTGAAAGCGACAAACACTCTGACTGGTCCACAGCTGCCACCTGCTGTTTTCGACAGACGTTACTATAGGCTTCATATAACTGGGAGGAAATAAGGTAGAACAAATGTTGCTTAAAAGTCACAACCTGTGTCTTGTTACCTTACAAAATTTTTTTTAACAATGTGACTCTGATAGACCTTTTGGAAAACATCTGCTCTATGAGGCAGGTTCTCATCTCTACCCAGCTCCACATGCTGCAATTCCTGACTCACCTTCCCCAGAGTGACCTCTTTGATTTTCAACTGCCTGGTCAAGAGCAACAAAGAGCAGACCAAGATCTTCTGCTGAAGAGGGAAGGAATCTTGTGCTCCTTCTTGGCCCAAAGTCATCCTGTTACTGTCAACTTCTGAAATAACTTGGGATATGTGAGTGAGACCAACTCGCTTGGGAACCAGAGCCTCCGAGGATGACTTACCTATAAAGTAAGGAAATCAAGCTTATTTAGATTTCTAAAATATTGTGTGTACATGTGTGTGAGATAAACAATACTAAGTTTTAGCTCCAGGAAAATCAAGGGCAGTCACGTGGTAGCAAAGCAGAAGTTCCAACTCTCTGGAAGCGCAAGTATGAGCGGGAATACTGGTACAAATTGAACTGTGTTCTCCCAAAGTTCTCTTGAAGTCTTAACCTTTGTATCTATAAATGTGACCATGTTTGGAAATAGGGGTTTTTCTTTTGTTCTGTTAACGAAGGTGTGCCAGAATAGGATGGGCCCTAAACCTAATCCCTTTTGAGTGATGTCTTATAGAAACAGCAGACACACAGACACACACGGAGACTCCAATGACAAAGCAGCCACATCTGCATAGAGCAGAGGAACACCAAGGATGGCAGCAGCCGCTGAAAACTAGGAGAGAGACTCACAGAAGGAATCAAGACAGCCGAGACCCTCATTTGGAATTCTAGCCTCCAGAACTGTGAGAAAACAAACCCATTTTTAAAGCCACCCATTTGTGGTATTTTTGTTATGGCAGCCCTAGGAAACCAAAGCAAATACTATCCTCAGAAAGATGCCAAAGTGATGCAGGATGACTTGGAAAGTCGGCTTATTCTTTTTCTGGTCAGAACAGGAAGTTATTTTGTCCTGCAGAATGTAATTGAATGTCAGAGAGACAAAAACCCTCCTCAGAAAAGAGTAGGGTGAGACAGAAAACTACTGTATTCTGCCTCCCAAGGCTTAAAGGTAAAGAACAGAACGTTGAGGCAAAGATGATGACTGTCTGGTAATTAAAAAAGGAAAAAAAGAAAGAAGTCTTAAAAATGACCTAATCCTCTGAGTCAAATGGTCAAAGGAGGAACTAAATGTGGACTGTGAATATGGTTCACCAGTCCTCTAGACGGGCTCCCCCAGTGACCTCTGAGGTTTGGTTCACTTGCCCAAGCTGATGGGCAATAGGGCAACACTTGAGAAAATGTCACTGGATAGCTCGGCAGATAGCACACTCTCAGAAGCCAGAGGCTGGGAAACTGCCAAGAAGCTGCACAGGACTCTCGCCTCATTGTTTGCAGATGCCCAAATGGCAAGATGGAGGAGGGATTTGCCCTGTAACAACCTCTGCCTGAAGTTACTTCCTGAGGCCGTCTGCAGTCCCCCCACAATTTCCTTCTACTTCATTCCTACAAACAGGATGCAGCAGAGGACCAGGAGCAGCAGAGAAACCAAAGATCACAGAGCAAAGAACAGAATCTTCAACTACCAGACAGCAGAGTGTCCCCTGAAACATCCCTGCAAGGTCATCCAGCCTTTGTTTGAATCTCTCCAATGCTGGGAAACCCACTATGTTTAAAAGAAGCCCAGTGAGTTCTATTTACTAGAAAGCTGCTTCTTTTAAGTTAAAGTAAGGTCCCTGTAACTTTCTAGAACCATTAAAAAACAATCCCACTGAGACGCCTGAGACTATGGCCTATAGGTATACCCTTCAGGTTTGGAAATGAACTCACTCCTGTAGCTTCCAGCCAAATAATAAGACAGGACTATGGGGTGAACATTGACATCAGGTAGACACATTCCTTGGAGCAATCAATCAATCAATTGTGGGAGAAAAAAGGGCAATGTTTGCAAAGGGAGAACTGGGGGTGGGTGTGGGGTGGGCAGGAGTACATGGGAGGGAAGGACACAGGGAAGAGGTAACTACAGGGAGGAAATGGGAAGAGATCTGTTACATTGTGGGGAATTGCAGTCAATGTTATGAAACAAAATGTGTATGAACTGCTGTATGGAAAATGAATTTGCTCTGTAAACTTTCACCCAAATCACAATAGAAATTAAATAAATAAATAAATAAAAAGCCAATCCCCCCCCACACACCAGAAATCAAGAAGATAGGAATTAGGTCAATCTAATAATTTATGCCAGGAATTTACCTCTTTGATCTGTGTGTGTGTGTTCATGAGGGCCAATGAGAAGCCTAAATGTTACTAGAAGTGAACAAAAGAATAATCGGAAAGTTGAAGAGGAGGAAGATACCAGTATCTAGTTTCTATATTGGCATGTGTTGTCTACCATTAGCCTAAGCACTAAGTCTAGGGACTTCTGAAATATTTATTAATTTTAAAAAGTTGATGAAAGGAGTTTTTTTTTTTTTTGAAAGGAGTTTTATGTAGAACTATAGTGCTGGAAACGAGTGTAGTAACTCCCGACCAGGGCAGGGATGCAGCAAGAAACAAAACCAGACTGCTCTGTTTCTAGATCAAAACTGGAAATTGAAAATTGTGAAGGTAAGTAGTTCATGGCCATTGGATATTTGCCACAGCTAAGAGAACAAGGTGGAGGGAAAGGAAAATTAAATGCTGTCATTTTTAAAAGCCTGCAGTTCACTGTAGCAATATGATCTTTACACCTCGACTCTCCTGGACTCGTTTAAAAGCTCGAGGTATCCCAAGCTGAATTCACAATCATTTTACCCAACCCTCCTTTATTTACCAGGACTTACTTTCATCCATATGGAGGCCTCAAGTGCACTCAACATAAGCACACAGAGAAGCTGATTACTGTCTATAGTTTTCCTCCCTAGAGCTTTGAAAGAAAACTTCCTTTGCTCCAGCCATTTGTGTCATACCCTATGGAACGTATTTCCAGTAATGCATGGAATATATGGTACCAGCAGGCAGGACTGAAGTACAGATGAAACTGACCAAAAACACGGGCATACACATAAAAAGGGGTAGGTATGGATTTAACTATGTATGTTTCATCTTTCAGAAAAGTTAAGCTTCCAATAATAAAGGAAGACAAGAAGGAGATAAACTACTTACATTCAGACAGTGGTTTCAGGATAGTCTGGCTTTTGACATCCGACTCTACAATTTCAATAGCTCGCCTATAAAAAAAAAAGTTCTAAAATGAATTTAGGCTGAGCCAAACCAAACACCACACAAAACCATGAAGCTCAAAACCAGGCACATTAACTGAAAACAGTATGTTTCATCACTTTAAAACCTCTAAACAAAGCTGGGTTAATGTCTCAGCTAAAAGGGGCTTAATTGCCTTGACATAATTGATGGAATATGAAAAACTTCAACACTACACAGTTTCCTCTTATAGATGCCAAGTAGGTCATCATCCATGGAGCCAAAGATAATATTTCAGATGTGGAGAACATGTCATGAATAAAGGAGAGGAAGTGCAGTGTGGGTGACTAAGGAGAGTGAGCATAACCCACATACATGAGACCTAAGGTGCAGTTCTCAGTTACATCTACAAGGGGACACATGTAGGCTAAACCACAGCAGTCTTCATGACTATTGCTCATAGCTGCAGTCTTTACCCAAGCAGTCTGCTAACTAGGGGAGACTTCTGCATGACAGTAGGGGGAGGTAGGACCAGCGGGCCAGCACAGCAAGTATCATTTTAATGGACCCAGCGTTCCTACTGGGAAGGAAGAAATTTCATCAGTCAGCACTGGAGGCTTTCCCCAGCAGGAGGGGCAGGAGGATGGGAAGAGAGGGACGGTCTGGAGCACAACTGTGAGGACCACCAAAGGAGGGAAGGGGTGCTCACAAAAGCAAAAGAAGAGAAAAAAAGTCTAAAGGCAAAGATGGTTCAGGTCCATAAATAAACCTGCTTGAGGCCAGCTAATGGAAAAGTAAACTGGAGTCTTTTTTAATACAAATGTAATTAACCAATCTATAATCACCACAGGGAGTGCCAGCAACATCTCATTTGTTTCTCCCTCTGTAGGTAATGGACTGATAATGTTTCAGACATTAACACGTTGGAAATGCAGAGCTCCCCACTGAGAAACAAGTCCTCCTTTCTGAACATAAAAAGTAGCAGAATGGAGCCTCTTAGGCCATATTCACTTGAGTTACATGAGACAATTAACAGCATTTATTTTTTTAATAAAAGCGACTCGCAGTGCCATAACTCACCTGCAAACATCTAGCGCTTTGCGCACGTCTCCCGACACAGCTGAGACTTTGCGTGCACAGAACTGAATTGCAGCATTATCCAGAACCTGATCTCCAGACACCTTCAGACAGCACAGCAAAGATGACAGTTTTGAGCTGTAGGACTTCCCTTCTCTGGACTCCAGGTCCCAGTAGTAAATATTTTCCCATTTGTCTAAACTTGATTGGCCACCCTGGTAGGATCTAAGAGATGCCCTTTCTGCTCATAAGTAAATGGAGATGTTTGGTATTTTTCATATGCTTAAATATTCTATAAGGATATGGCAGAGGTTCATAAATGGAAAAAAGCAATTAGAACTTAGAAAAAGGGTTTTATGGGCCTTATTTTTAAGGGCTAAGGAAGCACTTGACTGATTCCTCTAATTCCTTACTTTTATTTCAACACTGAGGCAGCCAGTAAGTAGAGCCATATGTGGAAATCCAAGTAAGTGTTCTCACTGGCCCATAAGAATTCTACTGGTAAAGCAATCAATGCAAAATATTTTAGAACCATTATTAGGTTTGTTCTAGGAGCCCTGGGGGTACAGTGGTTAAAGCACTCTAAAAAATTTTTAAAAATAAAAAAGGTGGCTGCTAATCAAAAGGCTGGCAGTTCGAAGCCACTAGATGCCCCATGGGAAAAAAATGTGGCAGTCGGCTTCCATTAAGATTTACAGCCTTGGCAACACTATGGGGCAGTTCTACTCTATCCCATAGGGTTGCAGTGAGTCAGAATTGACTTGACGGCAGCGGGTTTGGTTTTCCCACCACTGGTGACCCAAAGAGGGTATACTCTGGCATAATGGTTGGCACTTACCTGATTAAGTCGGTCCTGCAAAATAGTGGCGATCTGATTTCTGGTATAAGGTGGGAAATTCAATAGCTGTGGCTTATATTTTTCTCTAGCTTGAAGCCTAGGCAGAATTCTGTCTGTGAGATCCAAGGTATTAGCAATACCTGAGAAGAGATAAATATCATGAATCACTGGTCAGATAATCCTAAAAGGAAAAGTGAACACTTTGAAAGCTAAATAAAATTTCCAGTTATAATCCAGCATTCCAACTGTTTCCCACTTGGCCCCCAATAATCATTAGCTAAGATGCACATCATCACCAAAGAACATACTTCTTAAGTTAGGCATAGAAATGCCCACTGATAAGCAGAACAGACACTCTGATAATTCACTATGTCTGAAATGCAATATAATGTCATTTCTATTCAGACTTAAAAAAACTGATTTGCCTTAGATTAAAATTATTTTCAGGTGATCCATAAGTTGAACAGAAGGAATGGAGAACACTTTAGAACCACCATGTAACATTTAAACAATTGAGCACTAACCAATCAACACCAATCGAGAATTGCTCAGCCATGGCCATTCAAACAGCGTGTATAATACATCCTGCCCTTTGCTATCCAGCTGGTCCATCTCATCCAACACCAACACACTACAAATAAAGAGAAAAAATTTGTATCTGAGTTCATCTTCTTAAACTTCCAATCTGTTGGTTGAGGCTGACTTTAGGGGGCATTCTTAAAGCTGAGACCAGTTTGAGATCATCGTGTGTGCTAATTTCGTTCACTGTTAAAATGACATGACAACTTCCGTCACAAACAAGTAACATCCAGGTATCTTCAGGCAGTTAAAGACATTTTTTTCCAATTTATAATGAAAAGGTGTGTAGGTGTGTTTTTCTTCTTTCCCTTTAAGTGTATTTAACTTCCTCTCAAATATCAAAAAGGAAACGTTCTCTATGAGCACACTGATAATTTAGAAGATCAGATGTGAGTTTGTGACAAACAGACTTCGCAGAGTTTCAAAGAGCAATACTTACATCATGGGGCCCTTCTCCGCAGTCATATGTTTTTCCAACTTCCTCACCATGTCCTTCCCAGCTGGCTTGGATACTCCTTCCTGACAAATCTCCTGAGCAATAGCTGGGAAGACAGCCTGAGCACTCCTCAAGGACATGCAATTCAGCACAATAGTTTTAAAACTTTTCAATTCCTTCTAGAAAAATTCAAACACAAGAGAGTTACTTTGGTCTCAGTAGAGTTGATGGAATCTAGCATGTCTTTGAGGAGTTAACAGTATACAGACCAGAAGTTCCACTTTCATCTGGAAATAACGAAACTAAAAAATGTCCGATTTGGGGGAAACCATCAATACTCTAAGTACATTTATCCTTTCTTAACCCTCCACTGAAAAAACTAAACCAAACTCACTGCCATCAAGTCAATTCCAATTCATAGTGCCCCTCTTTGGGTTTAGAGGCGGTAAATCTTTACAAAAGTAAATTGCCTAGTCTTTCATCCACGGACTGGCTGGTGGGTTTGAACCACCAACCTTCTGGTTAGCAGTCAAATGATTTAGGCACTGACCCACCACAGCTCCTTTAGCCCTCCATAACCATGGTCCATTTTTAGCTAGAGAATCATCATTCAGATTTTCAATGTACCTTAAAGTCTTGCAGAATTCGGCTTAAGCAGGCAGTTTTTCCAGTTCCAGGAGCACCAGAAAGATAAAGACTTCCAGCTTTTTTTCCACAGATGTGCTCCCTCAGAAAATTCCGGATGACATCCATCTCCTTTTCTCTGGCAGGCAGCCGATCTGGGACAGCTGTATTCAGGACCAGCTTTGCTTGCTGGTAGCAAGTGCCTATGCCAGATATGAAAGGGCAATTAGACATGACAGAAGGTGACTAAGACCCACTGGGTGTCATTAAGAGTCATCAGGGTTTTATAAGAATGTGCGTTACAATTCCTTAAAAAGTTGGAAACAGAAATACCATTTGACCCAGCCATTCCATTACTAGGTATATATCCTAAAGAAGTGAGAGCCATGACAAGAACAGACATATGCACACCCATGTTCATCGCAGCACTATATACAATAGCAAAAAGTTGGAAACAACCTAGGTATCCATCAACTGAGGAATGGATAACCAAACTATGGTACATACACACAATGGAATACTATGCAACCCTAAAGAATAACGTAGAATCTGCAAAACATCGCATAACATGGATGAACTTGGAAGACAATATGCTAAGTGAAATATATCAATCACAGAAGGACAAATATTGTATTAGTCCGTTATTGTAAAAGTCAAGGAATGGTTTATATATGGAAGGATATTTTCTTTGTTGGTTACCAGGGTTGGGAGGGTAGGGTAGGGAACACAGATAGGTAGAGATAAGTATTGATTTGTGTGAAGAGAAGAGCAATGCACCAAATGTGATCAACATGATGGTAATGAGGAAGAGGAAGACATAGAGAGGTACATGGGAGGTGCACGGCGTTGTCAGTGAAGGCAAACACAGGTATACGGGTGGATAGATGGGTAGACGGGCTGAACTATTAGGCATGTCTATGAAGCAGGGGGGAGCTCTGGTAGCGTAGCGCCTAAGGCACTTGACTGCTAATGAGAAGGCTGGAGGTTCAAACCCACCAGCCACTCCTCAGAAGGAAGATGGAGCAATCTACTTCCATAGTGATACTGCTTTGGAAACCCAAGGAGGGGCCACTATGAGTCGAGTCCGACTCAATGGCACATAACAACAACATGAAGCAGGGAGTGTACCAAGACTATATGTAGGGTTGGCAGACAATGGTTCTACAAGTGTATTTGTATGATCTGTAAGAATTCCCAGAGGTATAGTAGAGCTGACAAGGGACAAGTTTGTATGTAGTCACTTCTTGGTCACAGCCAGCTACCCAGAGGGAGTGAGTAGCTGAACCTGTGGGCTCGGAACCATAGTCGCAGGAGACATCAAGCTCAATTAGCGTAACATACTACACAAAACAATGTTCCACCTCCTACTTTGGCAAGTAGCGACTAGAATCTTAAAAGCTTGCGAGCAGTGACACAGCAAAAGCAGTGATCAGAGGCCAATTTATAGCAATAAGTGCACACATCAAAAGAGGAGAAAGAGCCAAAATCAACACGTTAAACAAACATCTCCAACAATTAGAGAAAGAACAGCAAGAAAAGCCCACAGTCACCAGAAGGAAGGAAATAACCAAGATTCAAGCAGAAATCAATGAAACAGAAAATAGAAGGGCTATAGAAAAAATCAACAAGACCAGAAGTTGGTTTTTTGAAAAGATCAATAAAATTGA